CCATAAAAACATAGAGCAAACAGATTAACAGAACAAAAACCCAGAACTAGGTGATAACCCCCAAATGCAGTGGAAGGAAGAAAACCACCAACAGCCATAGGACCCGTGTATCACGGGTCTCTGTGTGGAAACATCATGGGGCAGCAATGGGGTGCTTCACAAACCTGAGAGTAACAGGCCAACGTGAGAGAAGCAGGGGCCACTGGGAAAGGTTTTGCCCTACCCAACAGCAGGTGAGGACAGCAACCTGAAATACAAAGGTCTGAAGGGGCTGGAGCAATCCAGACCTGTCTAGACCCCATACTCTAGAAATGAACCACTGAAAGGGCTTCTTTCTGAGACAGGACCCACAATGAGGAGAAATTCCAACAAATGGAATCAAATCTGAGAAGGACAGAAATAAGAGGGACAAAGGAATGAGAAAGGCCAAATAAAAGCAGGCCAGGAAATCTTGGAAAGCAAGTCACCATGCTGCTGAACATTGCCTGAAACGGACAGAAGGGGGAGCTCTGTGAAGTTAGGATGGCTATATGAACTGAGCCACCTAACCACTGAACCGCATGTAAAAATAAGGAAAAAAAGACAAGGTTCCCCAAATTACTATAAGAAACAAAGAGAACAAGGCATAGAATATTGTCCTACAGACAACAGAAGAATGCAAGGAAGGTGTCCTCAACTAGTGAAAAACAATCACTATTTCAAAACAAAATAAAGTCAGAACTTGAAAAACTCAAAAGGAGGCAAAAGTTTTTTGAAATCAGATACAAAAGAAAAATCACTTTAGAAGTGAAGACAAACCAAGAAAGAACACATTATCAAAAACATAATAATGCCCCCCAAGAAATAAAAGGTAAAAATCAGAAAAAAGATTAAAGTTCTGAAGCTAATATAACAAACACAGTGTGTCAACTATATTTCAACTAATTTTTTTTTAGGGGTGCCTAGTGGCTCAGTCGATTGAGAGTCTGCCTTTGGCTCAGGTCATGATCTCAGGGTCTGGGATGGAGCCCTGCATCGGCCTCCCCGCTCAGCGGGGTGTCTGCTTCTCTCTGTCACTCTCCCTCTATGTGCATGCTCTGTCTCTCTCTCTCTTTCTCAAATAGGTAATAAGTAAAATCTTTTTTCTTTTAATTTTTTAAATTTTTAATTAAAAAAATAAAATAAATGAACACGAAAAAAGTTGGGAGAGAAACTAACCAATACTGAAGATAATAAAGAAGACAAAGCATATGGATTAACAGGAGGAGCCCCTAAAGAAAAAAACCAAGGACAAAAAATAGAGCAAATATGAAGGACTATAACTGAGAAAACATTCTGGGAAGGAGAAAAAAAGTCCTGAAACCCTATACTGAAAGAACATACCATCAGCTTAGGAATTCCAAGTCAGAATAACCAACAATATTCTACCAAGATTACTGTATTCTAAGAAAAAAAAATCTTAGGGAACATCTAGGCGAAAAGAATATATGGTTTATAAAGGAGAGAGAACTATATTATCTGAAATTTTTTTTTGACAGGAACACTTTATGCCAAAAGAAAACGGAATAATGTATTTAGATATGATGTGAGCTGAGATTTTATATTCAGAAAAACTCACCTCCAAATCTAAAGGTCCCTGAGGAGCTACTATCTACATAGAAGGACTTAAAAAGTACTGTTTCCATGAGCCTTTTCTATTTGATTCCATTCTTTGCAGTCTCTCCTCAGTGTGGGGCCTGTCCCAGAAGGGATTACTCTCTGGTTGGGTTCTAGCATCCTGGGGTCTAGAATCCACCAGGGAAGGAGCTTCAGATGATCTAAATGACTAGAGAGAGGTGGACATAAGTAAAAAGTTGTGGCTTTATAAAACTATTTTTAGTAATCATTAACTGGTGGTTGTAACAGTATTTTTGCTGAGTCCGTCATATCTATAATATGAAAGCACACAAGACAGATCAGGGCTCTCTAATTCACACTCTGAGTTCTTGAGTACCCATATTCTCAGTGTGGAAGAAGAGAGATAAAGATGCAATATTCAAGAGGTTAGGTTAAAACTAGATAGTCCATGGGGCACCTGGGTGGCTCAGTGGGTTAAGTGCCTGCTTTCAAATCAGGTCATGATCTCAGGGTCCTGGGATCAAGCCCCGCATCATCGGGCTCTCTACTCAGCAGGGAGCCTGCTTCCCCCTCTCTCTCTGCCTACTTGTGATCTCTCTCTCAAATAAATTAAATCTTAAAAAAAAAAAAAAAACAAAAAAACCCCAACTAGATAGTCCATAATTTGAACAGGGACTATTAAGATGAAGTCACAACGTATTTTATCCTTGAAAATATGTGTGTGTGTGTGTGTGTATCCCCCCGCCCCGCCCCATTTACTACGAAGTCTTAAGAAGAAAAAAAAAGATCACCAAAGGGGCGCCTGGGTGGTTCAGTTGGTTAAGCGTGGGCCTTTGGCTCAGGTAATGATTTCAGAGTCCCTACACTGGGCTCCCTGCTCAGTGGGGAGTGTGCTTCTCCCTTTCCTTCTGCCCCCTCCCCCTACTCGTGCTTTCTCTCGCTCTGGCTTGCTCACTCTCTCAAACAAATAAATAAAATCTTTAAAAACAAATGATCACATGGTAACAATGAGCATTCCCAGCACCCAGACTGATCTAGAAATTCCATTTCTCCATTAAAAAAAGCCAGAGCTTCTGAGAGAAATGGCTGATAATAAGTGTGGGTGAAGAGATGTCCAAGATGAGCCAGAATACCTTCACATACCAAACAGCAGGGAAGCTACCAAAAACAAATAGGGTTTGTCAAAAGAACTTGGGGAAACTTGAAGAAGTTCCCACTAACAAAGACTGGATGGCCTGAGCTTTGAGGTAAGAATCGTAATGCATCAAACCCACTAAATATGTTCAAATTTATGAGCTCAAAATGAAATGGAAGCAGGGGTAGAGGGTGGGGGTGGGGAGAACCTAACCGGTCATCTTCTGAGAAAAACAGAGAACCAATTCATTATCTTGAAAACTGGGTAAATAAAAGGAAAGAATCAAACATCTACCCTACTTTCCTATTTGAATAGTACTACTGGGCAATCAAATAAGAGGGGGCATCGCCTTACAATTTTACCAGCTAAAAACTGAAAACAAAATAACAGAATTTAACATTACCATTTTGTGACCCCCTAATGATTTGTGGCATCTGAGTGGTGAGCATAGATAGCGCACAAATCAAAAAAGAACAAAGACCAGACATCTTGGTATCATCGGCCTCTTGATGGAAGAACATAACACCAGCTATACAGTCTTGCTGAAAGGACCGAACCTGAATCTGATCACACTTCAGGATCCAGCTGCCAATTTGCAGGGAATTCAGAGGACAGAGGAGCATGTTGAACTGCACCATTAGTGTGCAATCACCAAAAACTAGATAGCGAAAGGTGCAGGTCTAAGGTCAGGCTTCTTCATTAGATTCATTGTTAAGGACAAGAAAATAATGGAGGAGGAACCTACAAGATATACAAAAGACTTAGAAGACAAATCAAGTTCTTTAAGCCAGCAAAACTAAGCTACACTGTCTAGAAATGCTTGCTGAGGTGATTAAAACCATGAAGAATAGCAAGAAGTTAAGTATTTAAGAGTGGGAGTAGTGGTTACTTGAGGGAGGGAGGGAGGGAGGGAAGGGTTATGACAGGGATGCAGCACATGGAAGAGTCTGAGAAGGAGGGTGAAGATCTATTTCCTGACCTGGGTGGGGGTGAGAGGGTATTCATTCCACTGAACTTTCTTCCCTGCTTAGCATGTTTTAGAACAAAAAAGGGGTTTCTTTTGAAGATGAATCAAACCCGCTTCTTAAGAGAAGTCAAGTCTCAGTTTAAGATTTTGGCATCAGTGGTCTCAATAATGTTCCTTTCCCTTAGTAAAATGTGTCTGCAGTCATGAAAATGATCAATTTAGCAAGGCACACAAAGCAGAACAATTCCTTTTAACAGCAGCATATTTCATTATAATATGACTTGGCTGCCAAAATCATGAGATCACAGGAGGAGTTATCCTCGGCCAAAAATCCATGAGGAAAAATGGGTAAATGTTTAAATGACACAGTTCGGGAATTAATTTGTGTTTATGTAAAATAATTTTAATTAATAAAACTTTCCACACAATGTTTCTAAGCCTGGCTCAGGCGACAGAAAACGAGGAGGGAAGTAACGGCAGCGTGGGTCTCCCAGTTCTGCACCCGACATGCAGGAGGCCGCTGCACCTGACGGAGGGACACCTTCGCTGACTTCTGCCCGTAGCGCATTACTCCCCAGAGGGACTTATGGTAAACATACTTTGGGCTAGGATTAAGAATTGATCCAAACCTATAATTACGTTTTAAGGCTAAGAAGAACATAACCAAGAATAAGCAGCTTTGGTTAAAAAGTATCCCAAAACCCAGTTTCACACACTCTACTTTTGTAATCTAAATGAGGGAATGTAAAGAACTCAAATGTCTTTCATGTTGTTTGTTTATCTGCAGAAAAAGGACTTTCTTAAGAGGGTCGAACTCGACAGAACATACCCTCTGACGTTAGCTTGGAAAGAAACACTTAACTTATTGCAAACCTTTACTATTCCCCACTTATCTGTTACATATCCCTTTTTTTATGTGTAATCTTCGGCATTTGTGTGTAACTTTCCACTGTAATATGGCATTCATGTTAGCAGTTTTTTCTCTCCTTTTGGGGGAGGGAGCGGACTCGTGGATCAATGGCATTCACAGAATGCCACAGAGCAGGTGTGACAAACATCAGTAAGCACGTACACACGCACACCCATACCAAAGAAGAAAAACAATACAGTACAATATCTCTGATATAAGGGCTTACAAGAGGGTTATCTACAGATACGCTTTCATGTCACTCAGGGTATAATCCAGTGGACAATCAGAACTGCTATGACCTTCTACTTTTCCAGCCTCCGCACACACACTCTTTTTGGAAGTGGTGGGTGAGTGTCACTGGCCTGTGTGCCTGCCACACCCTGGGAGCTTACCATCACCGTGCAGTCTTCTGAGCCACTGGCAATGACCTGATCGTTATGTGGGCACCAGTCTATGTCGAGTACCGGTCCTGTGTGGCCACATACTGTAGGGTAGGATTTGTCGATTCGACCAGTCTGAAAGGAGAGAGAAACAAATCTCCTAAGTAAACACCAACACCAAAGAGTTTGTGTGCTCTCTCAAACCCATTTTTCTTTTGTTACCTCCACCCCAAACTCTCCAAGGTCTATATATGATGACATTCACATCAGTCAGTGTCAACTAGTAGGAACTGTCAACCTGCATTTCTAGAAATAGTGACGGCCAAGCATACTCCACCAAATTATAAGAATAGGGGCACCTGGGTGGCTCAGTGAGTTAAAGCTTCTGCCTTTAGCTCAGGTCATGATCCCAGGGTCCTGGGATCAAGCCCCACATCGGGCTCTCTGCTCAGTGGGGAGCCTGCTTCCTCCTCTCTCTCTGTCTGCCTCTCTGCCTACTTGTGCTCTCTGTTTGTCAAACAAATAAATAAAATCTTAAAAAAAAAAGAATCCAAATTTCTAGAACCACAGAAGTTTTATTTAATCAACTACATTAATAGAGCAAATGAAAATACAAAATCTTTTCACCAAAATACAATTTGTAAATTACAGATGTGTTTTTACTATTAAAAAAACCCTTGGTATTATTTAAAATGTTAAATATAACTTTTAATATAATTAACTAATACCCTTGAATATAATAAATTACCAGTTCTGGAAATGAATGGCATACTGTGAGCACACTAAGTTAGGGTAATAAAAAGAAAAGCTCTAGCTATTGCTCAGGGGCTAAAGGACATACTTTGATGTCTCAGTCTCTTCACTCTCTTCAATTAATGGAAGAGACAGCCAGATCTAATTAACACCAGCTTGGATCCCATCCATTATCTAGTCCACATCACATTAAGAATACAATTTTCAATGTTGGTAAAGCAGCCATCACAATATGCTCATGTTATTATACATTTGAATCTAACAAGTCAATTTGGCTTATCGAGCTGATTTTGTGTTAACCAAGACAAATGCTATTGTTAACAACAGATATATAAAAGCTATTTCCTTTTTCAAACAGGTTAATGCCAGTCCATGCCAAGGTCCTATATGCTCTAAAAGCAGTCATACAAAAAGGAATCACTGCCAAGCAAGACTGAACCTATTTTTTGTTGTTGTTCTCCTCTTACAGCAAGTCATCATAACAGTGAGGCAAGGCTTCTCAGAAATTTTTCAAGATCAAGAAATTCTATGATTTCTCCACTTTGGCTCAACTGTGGAATCTCCAGAGAAGCAGTATGATAAACGCAAAGACCACAGTATCCAGTCGGACAGATAGGGGTTCAACTCCAGGCTCAACTACTTCAACAGCAGATGACCTTAAGCAAGTCATACAATCTCTCTCACCTTCATCCATCACCTGTGATATGAGTACCAAGAATACCTATCTCCCAAGATTACTGTAGGGACTAGATGAAATAAAGTTTTTTGGCAAACCATAACTTAGTATTACAATTATCTGTGTAAGGTATGCAAAAAATTTAATTTCAGGTGCACCTCAGAGATATTGCCAGGTTCTGGTCCATATCACTGCAATTAAAGTGAGTCCAATGAAGTTTTTGATTTCCCAGTGCACATAAAAGTTTTATTTACACCATACTGTAATCTATGAAGCATGTGATAGCAAGAGGTCTAAAAAAAGAAAATGTGTAGACCTTAATTAAAAAGTATTTTCTTGCTAAAGAATGTCAACTATCATCAAACCGTAACAAACATAACAGTTATGAAAAAGTTTGAAGTATTCCAATAATAACCAAGATGTGAGAAAAATAGACACAAAGTGAGCAAATGGTGCTGGGAAAATGGCATCAATAGACTTGCTCCACACAGGATTGCTACAGACCTTCAGTTTGTTTAAAAAAACAAAACAAAACAAAACAAAACAAAACAAAACAAAACAAAACCAGAAACACAGTATGTGGGAAGTGCAGTAAATGAGGTAAGCCTGTATAGTGCCTAGAATATAGTAAATACTCAATAAAAAACTACTGCCACTTCTTATTAGTTCTATATATAATACATATGAGCATAATATATTAATTTACTCCACCATTAAGAACTACAAATATGTGTCCCTTATGAACTTCTAGGGGCCAGACGCTGCGCTGAGTACTGGAGATACAAAAGTGAACAGGGCAGCTCCATCCTGGCTGAACATGGAGTTCGATCATCAAACCACCAGTGCCAGTGCAGCACGAGACATGCTCCAGGAGGACAGGCATGGGTGGCAGGGACACAGAGCGGGGCATTCAGCCAGGCCTGTGGGGGTCACGGTCTGTGGGAAAGTTTTCTACTGAGAAAGAATAATTCTAAACTGAGGTGTGGAGATGGCCCCGTCCACAGACCTAAAAGCCTGGGATTTTCACATGCTCGCATCCCCTTGCAAATTGGATTCAACCCCGTTTGGATCTCCAGAACTGCATCACCAAAAAAGGAATCCTAGAAGAAAATGCCAACCAACACACTATACAGAATGGGGGTGTTTGTTATAAGGAGGGGCCCTCTGGGTCACTGACAGGCAGCAAAGCATGAGTGGCTGGGAACCAGACGGCCTGGGCTGGCATCGTGGCTCCATCCTTTTCCAGCTGAGGCCCCAGCCAAATGACTTCATCTTCCAACCTCATTTCCTCATCTGCAAAATGAGACAGTTACAACTCCTTCTGTAAGAGCTTGTGAGAATTAACTGGAGACAAAGTAAAGGACTTGGTACTTTCGCAGCACCTGAAAGGCTCCATATGCTTTACCCCAAAATGAACAACTGCTGGAACCCACTCTATCATATCCCTGATCATGTCATTCCTTAAAGAAGGAACTGCCAAAGAACACCTTAGCCACATGGCTTTCCCTCTCTCCCTCCCTGCATCCTCACAGAAGTCATGGGAGTACCCCAGCCCTGACGCTACTACCTGCCACCCTGTAGCATTCTACTGCTCACACAGGTCGTAATGGAAATCACAAGTGTCCGTTTTATAATATTATGACATACAGCATACAAAATAATATGAACATTATATTAAATCCACCAGCTAAAAGATGGTGTGTCTCAGATTAGATTAAAATCAGCTACAAGGCATGTTTAAAAAATCATAAACTACTGAGTTAAAAACTAAGAAGGTCACTAAAGGAGGGTAAGGGTATAAAAATATGTGCCATCCAGCCATGCTAGAACAAACTTTAAGGTGCGATGCATTATTAAAGATTACTATCACTACATAACACTTAAACAATTTGCTGGGATGCTACAGACACTATGAACTTTAACTCATCTAACTACATAGATTCAAACTAATTACAGCAAAAGCTGAGAGAACCAGAAAGAGAAAATGACAAAGCCATAATGTTAGAAGATGTTAACGAAGACTTACTCTCAGGCAAACAGACAAAAATTAGCATGAATATAGATGACTCTAGCAAGTAACAAGCTTGATCTAATGGACTTATCCAACCTTGGAGCCAGTATTTTAAAATAAACATTTTTTTTCCATGCACACATTAAACATTGCCTTTTTAAAATGACCCATTAGGATACCACAAAGCAAATCTCACGAAATACCAAGGAATCAATATCCTGTAGCCCACTTTCAGAGTACAATGCAATTCAAGTAAAAATTAATAGAAAAATATATAAACCCTAAATCCCCAAGGCATCTGAAAAAGTTCTAAATTTATTAAATTCTTCACACAGAAAATTATAATGGCCAATAGAAAAAAGTTAAAACTGATCAATAAACACACAACAATTTGTGGGAAAGAGCTAAAACAGATCTCCTTAATGGAAAATCAGTAGCCTTAAATGCATATATACAAAAGTCTGAAAATTAAAGAGAAGTTAGAACATACAAAAACACTCAAAGAATGTAAAATTATGAGAAGAAATTAACAAGAAATAAATAATAAGCCAAACTGATACAACAGGACAGAGTAGGAAAAGAGAGAAAGCACTAATACCAGTAATTTTAAAAAGCATGTAACTTACAAATACGGTCTAAGTTGACAAGACATGAAAATACTAGGAGTAACATCTGATAATAAATTTGAAAACATCAGATGGATAGGCAATCTCCTAGAAAAAAAAGTCAGAACTTTTTCAGTAAATAAAAAACCAGAATAGACCCCAAACCATGAAAGAACCAGGAACAGAAGTCCACATATTACCCACCTCCCCGTCAATCATGAACAGCAAAAGCTACTAGGCCCAGACGGTTTTACTGGAGGGCTTTACCAAACACTCAAGGAAGAGACCTCAGACAAAACTTCCCAGAGAACAGAAAAGAGGAACACCACTGAACTCCTTACGTAAGGCATGTCCACCCTGACACAAAGGACAGTGTACGAATAAATGGAAGCCAAATCACAAATACTGATGCAAACTCAACAACCGCAATGACCACCACCTGACCAAATTCTGCAGTGTGGGTTGTTCTCAAAAAACATAAGCAGAATGGAAAGACAAGCTGCAGACAGAGAAAATATATATGCAACATCCAGACTGGACAAAGTCAACAAATAACCTAACAGAGTAACAGCAAATGGTATGAGCACAGAATTCCCAGGGAAGGAAACCTAAACAGCCTATAGGTGTTAAGAAAAAATACTGCTCTCCGTGGTAACCAGGGAACTACAGATTAAAATGGTCAGGTAACACTGTAGACCTATTAAAACCGGCAACAGTTTAGACATCTAATACACGTGTTGCCAAGGATGTCAGGAAACAGGAACTCACAGGAGAGTCTCCTGCTGCAATACCTTTTGAGAGCAATCTGGAAACAGGTGGAGGTGAAGATGCCCACCCCTGAGCAGTACCACGTGGCACCGGGTGGTCTGTGGGTAAGAAAGGTTCCCCTGTTTTACACAGAAAGGATATTAACTGCAGCATTGCTGGGAATAGTGAAAAAAGCAGAGAGCAATTTGCTTTCTTGGTATGGAAATAAGTATCACTTACATAAAAGTTTAACCCATATAAAATAATAACCTATAATAACCTATAGACAGAGAGATACACATGTAATGAAAGTATACATCCCAGGTTTGAGGAAATGGTTACC